CCCAAATGGCCTAATGATGGATGCTGTTAGCTCTATCTGATCACACTGTTATGTGGTTAATTTACACACTTTTTGCTGAATATGTTCTCTAGTTAAACCGAGTTTGCACATTCATTTAGCTAAACAGTCTTGTGGTCTGAACCATGACAGAGTTTGCATCAGAGCAAGGAGGCATGTCCATAGACGCTATCAAGAAGGCATTCCATGCTACAGAAGAGGAGTTCTTGCACCTAGTCAAGGGGACATGGCTCAAACGGCCAAAGATCGCCTCAGTCGGCTCATGCTGCCTTGTTGGAGCAATTGCCAATAATAAACTGTATGTCGCCAATTTAGGCGACTCGAGAGCCGTCCTTGGTCATAGAGGACCCAATGGCCGGGGAGTAGTGGCCGAGAGGCTGTCTAATGATCACAATGTTGCCGACGAGGCGGTAAGAAAGGAGCTCATTCAGCAGCATCCTGATGATTCGCAAATAGTCGTCTACAGCAGGGGCGTTTGGCGGATTAAGGGCATCATTCAGGTACCAATCAGCAAATCATGTTAGTTTGGATCCTTTTCAGGTGCATCCGTGCATGGCATTCTATTTGCAATCATGTTTTACAAACATTATGTGACAGTTGGCTGCTATTAGAAAATCTAGTAGGCAAGGTGGTCTCCAGAATTTGTTAGTAGTTAATTAACATGTCAAGAACAATCATAGCATGCCCGCAAGACGGATAAATGGCGTACTGCAAAACAGAATTACATCTCAGCATAGGTGACCTGGTCCTAGTCTCTTGTAATTCAGAAGTGTTTGCAGATAATGCAAGTGAAGTCTGATGTTATTCTAGAAAATCTAGAACGCCGAGTCCATGAGCGCATGCCTTATTCAGTTTAGATTTTGGGAGGATTTTACTACTCTTCATGAACCTCACTTGATGAAAACATTAAACTCCATCCTGAAATTGATATCGCATGTACTAGATCTATGTCATGATGCCCTAAATTATTTACTCAGATAAAGGCAACAGTCTAATTCTGATTGGACGTTGCCTTGGTTTCATGTTCAGTATACATGGACACATCTGTTCTCGATGTCATAACATAGATTCCAATGCTCTTTTGCAAAGCACTCCTCGATCCAATACCACCATAGGAATATATTCTTATGTTCCAAAAAGTCAGCAACTTAAATTGCTTACGCAGTGTGGCAAACCCATATTCTAAAGCCATTGTCTCCTTTTTGTATTTTTCTAAAGCCTACAGTTAGTCGATCTCATCTGGGCAAATACTACATGATCTAAGAAAAGATGCCACCGGTTGCCTGCATTAGTTATCATCACTATGCTTTGTAATGTTCCTTAAAACTATAAAAGCAGTTCAAGACGACAAACCTGCTTTCACAGTGACAGTCATGATCCACACTCGACATTATTATTTCTTTGATGCTTTCAGATTTCCAGATCATTTGGGGATGCCTACCTGAAGAAACCTGAATTTGCCAGAGACCCTGTATTCCAGCAATATGTGTGTCCTGTACCGTTGAAGCGGGCCGTCATAACAGCTGTGCCATCGATCAAAGTACGCCAGATAGGGCAGCAAGACCTCTTTGTAATATTTGCATCGGACGGTCTGTGGGAGCAGTTGACCGACGAAGCGGCGGTGGAGATCGTCTTTAAGAACCCGAGAGCGGTAAGCCAAGCTCATTTAACCTCGTCACGGGGAACAGCTATACGCTGTTCCATTGATGCAGAATATGATGTGTTGTTGTGTGGAAAATGCATGTGCTTAGGGAATAGCGAGGCGACTGGTGAGAGCGGCGATCTCTGAAGCCGCGAGGAAAAGAGAGATGAGGTACGCCGACATGCAACACATCGAAAGAGGGATCAAGCGGCATTTCCACGACGATATCACGGTTGTGGTGCTCTACCTTGATAGTCACAAACAAGACGCGCAAACAAAGTTCGGTGGCCTGGACAGTTTCAGGTTCACCAATGCACCGGTGGACATATTCTCGCCCTCAGGCCGAACCGTGGAACCGACGGTGCTGTGAGCTAGTGTTGTGTCTTCAGAAGGGATAATAGATGATAGTGAAAGGAAAAGGAACAAACCAGACGAAATTTGAAGTCACCTAGACCGAGCCAAGCACATCTTTTTGTGCATATACTGTGTGTGTGTAATCAAAGCCACTCTAGGTAAGCTGATGTCTCTAGACAAGAATTCCATTGCAGTTGGAGACACTTTGTGTATCGGTTATGCAAGATCAGATTCCCCAAGAAAAGAGAAAAGGAAGGGGAAATCTAAAGATTGTTCTCAGGATCCTTTGCATGCATCGCAAGCTAGGGACTGTTTGATCATGAAGCTTTGTTCGCCACTGTGATTCGTGGGTCCAGGATTCCAGGGGGGAAAATAACACAAGATTGCTTAGATTTGTGTGGGCGCTAGTACTAGTGTAGCATCGCCGTATGGGCAGCCTACTGACTGTCAGCTGCCGCAAAAGAAGAGCCTTCCCAGCTTTTGCTCCTTTTCTTTAGCTGGCATTGGTGTCTTCTCCTTGTTGCATCATGGCCTTGCTTGAGTAGAGTGTTATTCTTTACTTTTTCAAGTCAAGTAGAGTGCCGCTGATATTGTAGTCTTTTGTGTGAAATCCCAATATCCCATGTCCCAATGGTGGTTTCATATTGCGGCCTGTGTGTAATTGTTCATTGTCTTTCATATAGCTTACCACTTGCCAAGTGGTGGCCTGTGTGTAATCTGGTTTCACAAATTTGTGATTGCAATAGGGTGAAATTGCTCAGCCTCCCAAGGCACAGCCATGAGTCATGAACAGCTGTGATGGTGGTTTCGTAGTGGGCATCGTTTTAGGTACACACTCCTAGTAGGTCTACTTTTCCGTCTAGAAAATCTTTGCAAACATCCCAATCAAATCCTAACGAAGTATCAACAGTTTTGGAGGATCAAGCAGGCAACACACTACAACATTTGCCTAGCGTAATGCGTGATCACATTTGGTTTTGGATTTAGCACCCTGCAGAGCAATGCGTGTCACAAGATCTGAAGACGCTCAACAAAACTGTAATTTGAATGAAACAGCACCAACCAAACAATCTGTAAATTCATAACGATAGAAAACAACCATGCTTCGAGATTGACTCATAATAATCATGCGCACTATATAACACACATCAAAAGTATCCATTGCAAAGCAACAGTATCAACCTAGTGACGATTTAGAGAGCATGGTAACAAGATGATAATAATCATGGGAAGGAAGATAGCAAGCAACAGTGTGCTGCGGATCAGATGCAGCTCACAGGGTCCAAGCAAAAATTAGTGGAGTAGGCCTAGTAGTTGGAACAGTGGCGCCGACGGTAACAGTGGTAATAACAGTGGCAGCGGTAGTAACAGCGGACGGTGGACAGCCTGACGAGTGACCCCACCCTCCATCCTCAGGTCGCTCAGGCAAACGCCGGGCCCAGCGTCAGCGAAACAAGAACCAGCATCAGCAGCGCCGTTCCTCCCGTGGCCTTGTGGTGGTCTCGCGCCGCGTCACTCTGCAAGTAGGGCCCAGAACGCAGTCAGACAGTGAGCAAGCTAAAAAATATTGGCGTAATGAAAATGGACACCACTTGGATGGCTCCGCGTGTCCAGAGCAGGAGGGCAATTAATCGCGCTGGGCCCAGGAGGCATCGAGTGGGTACCAACCATCTCCCATGCGTGCAGGGTGGGTCCGGTGATCTTGTTGACCGGACGTCCACTCCTGACGCGCGGGCCCGGTAGGCGGACGCGAGGCGGAGGCCATCAAATCCGGTTTAGCGCGCTTGGTTTGGAATCCGCCGGCCAGGATCCGTCTAGCGCGTGTACGTGGAGCGTGTAGCAGTGCGGTAGTAAATGGGTGTAGGGATACGTACCGACATGTCGGCGGCGGACGGGCCGGGACCGGGGGCGAGGCCGCGGCCGGTGGTCGGCGACGAGGCGGCGGAGAAGGGGGACGCGGCAGGGGACACGTGCTTCTTGGTCTTGGGCTTCTTGCTCGGCGCGGGAGCGGGGGCGGCGAGGACGACGGGCGCCGGCGCGAGGGCCGGAGGAGACGTCGACAATGCCGGCGCGGGGGCGAGCGCTGGGGGCGAGAGAGCCGGTGCGGCCATCGGTGGAGGCAATGTGGGCGCGGCGGTGACCGGGGCCGGCGCCGGGGGAGACG